CTTTCTGAGACAAACAAAGCCTCCCCAATTTCTTATCCCTTGATATCTCCATGCCTAAAATCTTCTTCGTTTCACCAAGATCCTTCATCTCAAACTCCCTGTTCAATTGAGTCTTTAGTTTCGCAATTTCTGTCTGACTCCTGGAAGCTATCAACATATCATCAATATAAAGAAGAAGATATATATAGGATCCGTCTTCTAGCTTGCGTAAATACACACAATGATCATATTTGCTTCTTGTGTACTTCTGCCCTATCATAAACTTGTCAAATCGCTTGTACCACTGCCTTGGAGATTGCTTCAATCCGTACAACGATTTTTCTAATTTGCACACCATCTCTTCTTTTTCAGCAACTTTGAATCCATCTGGCTGAGTCATATAGATTTCCTCATCCAAGTCTCCATGTAAAAATGCAGTTTTTACATCCATCTGAACTAGTTCCAAATCCAGCTGCGCTACCAAAGCCAACAAAATTCTGATGGAGGAATGTTTTACAACTTGAGAAAATACTTCATTATAATCAACTCCCTCCGTTTGAGCGTAGCCTTTAGCCACCAATCTTGCTTTGTAACGGATGTTATTCTTGTCAGGAAATCCATCTTTCTTTGCATATACCCACTTGCACCCAATTGCCTTCTTTCCCTTCGGAAGACTAGCTAGTTTCCACGTCTGATTCTTTTAAAGGGATTGCATTTCTTCATTCATGGCGATCCTCCACTTTTTATGTTATGAACTTTGAACTGCTTTATTAAAAGTGGCAGGAACGTCATCAATTATAATTGGTGATGCAAAAGAGATCAAATCAGCATAACGAGCAGGTTATCTAATGATCATCTTTCCCTTTCTGAGTGTAATTGATTCATGTTGCTGTGGAGGTTCTTGGGTTTGAACCTCTTCTTCATCTGACTCTTCTTCTACTATAGGAGAGTCAACATCAGTTTCTTTATTGGTTGGGATAATCTTGCTTCCTTCAAACTCCACCTGTTTGGGAGTTTCATCTGTCTGGTCCAATTTTTCTGAAGTCACATTTCTCAACATGGTAGATTCATAAAACGTAACATCCCTGCTGAAGATTATTTTCTTTGTTTCTGGACACCAAAGACGATAGCCTTTCACACCAGAGGTGATCCCCATAAAGATCTCCTTTTTTGCTCTTGGGTCCAACTTTGACTCCTTAACATGGTAGTATGCAGTGGAACCAAACACATGTAAGGAATCATAATCTGTAGCATGTACTCCAAACCATTTCTCTAATGGTGTTTTACCACCAATAGCAGTCGATGGTAAGCGGTTGACAAGGTGACAAGTATAGACCAAAGCCTCAGCCCAAAATTCTTTGCCTAACCCAGCATTAGACAACATACACCGAACATTCTCCACTAATGTCTGGTTCAAACTCTCTGCCACCCCATTCTGTTGTGGTGTACCTCTGACAGTGTAGTGCCTGACAATACCTTCCTCTTCACAGACTTTCAGAAATGGATCATTTTTGTACTCTCCACCATTGTCTGTACGGAGACGTTTGATTTTTCTGCTTGTTTGAGTCTCCATCATCTTTTTCCATTTAAGGAAAAATCCTAGTACCTCATCCTTTGTCTTCATTGGATACACCCAAACTCTCCGGGAAAAATCATCAACAAAGGTGACATAATAGTGTGTTCCTCCCAATGAAGTTGTCTTGGAAGGCCCCCATACATCTGAATGAACATAATCCAAAATACCTTTAGTATCATGGATTGATGTTCCAAATTTCACCCTCGTCTTCTTCCCTTTGATGCAATGCTCACAAAAAGATAATTTGCAAGTCTGAGCACCCTTCAATAATCCTTGATCTATGAGTAATTTCAAGGATTTTTCACCAACATGCCCCAAGTGTATATGCCATAACCTGGTTGCTTCTGACTCATGTTCATCAGTAGAAGCTGCCACTGCTGATGTCCCAACAATTGTACTAACCAGAAAGTAATACACATTGTTTCTTTTTCGGATTCCCTTCATTATCACCAGTGCACCAGAGATAATCCTCATAATCCTATCTTTTTCCCTCACTTCTAAACCTTTTGACTCTAAGGCTCCCACAGAGATGAGATTTCTCATTAAATCTGGTACATAATGGACACCTGTTAAGGTTCTGATTGATCCATCCTGATTTCTCAAGTGAATTGAACAAATCCCAAGTGTGTCAAGAGGGGAATTATTTTCTATGTAGACAATTCCACCTTTTAGTTCTTTAAAATCAAAGAACCATTCTCTATTGGGGGTCATATGGTGGCTACAAGTTGAATCTAACATCCATGAAGTGGAACAGCTGGTTGATGGCGTAGTAGCGAATGCGAAATCTGAATCTGCATCATCATACTCGACCACATTTGATTCTGAGACAGCCTTCCCCCTTTCAAGTTTGCCTTTATTCTTTAGCCTAGGACATTCTTTATTCCAGTGCCCTTTTTCTCGACAAAAGGCACATTCATCTTTGCTCAATCTGGACTTTGACTTTGATCTCCCTCTGCTTCCTTTATTCTGACTCTTCGAACGACCTCTAACAACAAGAGTTTCTGCTTCGACACTTGTGTTTTCTTGTTTGTCTTTCTTTCTCAATTCATAACTATACAAGGCAGCAGTTACTTCACTGAGAGACACATCAACCTTCCAATGAAGTAGAGTAGTTTCAAGATACTCAAACTCATCAGGAAGTGATCCCATCAACATCAGAGCCAGATCTTCGTCTTCAAAAGTCACGTCCATATTCATCAGATCAGTCACCAGCTGATTAAAGCTAGTAATGTGATCATTCATAGTGGTACTTGGTATATAGTTGAAGCAGAACAATCTCTTTTTCATGTAGAGTTTGTTCTGACCGTTTTTCTTCAAAAATTTCTCCTCCATTGCCTTCCACAATTTACTTGCAGAAGTTTCCTTAGAAAATGCATACTTCTGCTCTCTAGAAAGACACGATCGAATAGTACCACATGTCATTCTATTAACCCTCTTCCATTCTTTCTCCTCAACATCATCTGGTTTCTCTCCTTCAATAGCAATGTCTAGACCCTACTGAAATAGGGCATCTAGAACCTCACTTTTCCATATGCCGAAATGACTGGTGCCATCAAAAATCTCCACTGCAAATCTAACATTTGTCACAGTATTTCTTGCCAAAATTGAAGATGAAGAAGCGTCTGCCATTTCTGCTACAAATTCTATTTAATAGCTACCAATGCGAAATGTCAATTATCCCAAGGAAATTTTTTATGATGTGGAAGATCAGCCTAAGCCGCAACCACATAGCATACTAAAATAAACCAAGAGCGCTGATACCAATTGTTGTGGAATTCGGGTTAATTTCCACCAATAACAGATTCACCTTCGAAACTATTATCTAGGTGACGAGTGTGAAAACAATTGTATAAAAAATCACCCCAAGGTATATTCCCAGGAAAGAGGAGGGGTCATAATGGTCCCTCTTAAAACCCACTTTCCTTAGACAAAACTACCAAGACAAGTAATTTTAATAGGACAATAATTAACAACAACTATACCCGACAATAGCTATTAAATAGACATAAAAGAGAACACCAAAATATTTCACTAATAGAGGAAATATTACAAAGAGAGAAAGAATGCAAATAGCCTTTAATATAGAAGAAGGCTTATATTTGTGGGATGATTAACTAAGGAGGAGGATGTCTTTATTTGTAACAAAAGAATTTCCCCTCCTCCTTATACACAACTAATGTGGAACTTTGCCAAAAACCAACAGAGGCGACTCCCGCGAAGGTAGAATAGAGTTTCTCTTTTGCCGACTGTAAGGATTTAATGGCTCTAGCCATAAGATTGAAAACTTTGCTAGATTCCTTAACCCCTTCATCCCAGGGTCGTTCCATCTTCACTTTATCCTTAAAAGGCTCTCTTTTTTCCCCCAACTCGAAAAATCGATTCCCTTTTCTACCAAACTTATATAAACCTAGTATTGGGGACTTATACTCAACGACCTTGAAATCATCGAATTGCATTCCTTCATGCGACTCGATTCTAAACTCGACAAAACTATGATGAGGTTTGCTTTAAAAATACCATAAAAAGGTAGCTCTGAAATACTTGGAGAACTCGAGAGAACAAAAGATGACCCAAGAATGTCTTTTAGAATAGTCCAGTCTGACGACTCAATCCCATACTCATCATTGATGGAATTCTTTAACCCTCGATTGGTGTTATCATTTGTCATATCAACATCCTGAGAGAGCATCTATTTTTTCTCCTGATGAAAAAATGAAATAACCTAAGAGGAACCTCTCCTTTCTTTTTTTCAAAGTTTTTAAAACACTATTATTTATCACCACGAAAGCAAATTCAAGTGAAAATAGTGTGAAGAAAGCAAATGTATTAATAAGGGCATTTATGATTGTTGCTCAAAATTCTCCTTATATATAATCGAACGAAACAATACGTCCTCAAAACAATGCGTCATTCCACCGTGCTCAACATAAAACACACGCATTTATGCTCTCAAGCCATTTAAGAAATGACAACTGTGACGTTTCCCCAAAAAAAGCTCATTGAAACACCTATAATGTTTCGATGAATAAGTATCAAGTAAAGTCACTTTATGACATTCTCGTGGCCAAGGGAGACAAATATTGTACACTTGTACCTCCACTAAAGGCCCTCTGCATACTATCTTTGGGCCTCATAGGCATAACCTCCGAAGAAACTTTCTCGCAGTCAACATCTCGGGTGAGCATCTATGAAAAAAAAGTTTCAAACATTCAACATCCCTCGAGAACTTTAAAAGACACGAGGACATGAGGACTTAGTAGTAAAGATCTTTGTAAACGTGAAGACTTTGAAATTTGGAGTTTCCAAGATTCATCTATTTGGGTTTTTCCTCTCGTAAAAACTGACTCATACAATTGCTAATATTGCTGAAGATTCTAGGTTGTTATAAATATGAATTGATTAAGCTGTTTTAATTAGTTAATTTATTTGTTTTATTTATAAAAAATACTAAAAAGAATGTTTTTGATAGATAAAAAATATTAAATAAACATTTCATCGAAAATGATCATATCTACACAAATGCCGTGGCTAAAAAAAATTATAGAATTAAGCGACCATGATCCAAGTCGTTGAAAAATAAGATCGGACATTAAACCGGAGGACGGTTTGAGTCAGCCGCCGGTCCAACTGTCAAACTGGAACCCGAGGTCCCTTCGCCATTATCAGCCGCCACCTTTGGTGATTTCATGGATGATGCTCTACTAATAAACGGTGGTGCCATACTAAACACCCACCGGTCCGACTTCACTCCGCGGTCCGACTCGTCGAACCATCTCAAAGACTTTCCTCTACTGCTTCCACCGTCTTCTCCGGCTCGATACCCTCGCCGTGAGCTTCTTTCCCTAGGCAACACTAAGCTCGTTGCCCGATTCAACTTCCGGTTCATTAACTGTTTTCGAACATCGACTGGTAATCGCAAAGTGAACCGGTTCGTGTTTTGACCCGGTTGGACCAGAGAATGTCCGGTCGAGTGTGATCGTGGAAAAAAGAACCTACGCGTCCGGCTTGATATTGATCCACGTGTACGGTTCCTGTTTAAAGTTCGATTCAAGTCAATTACTTCAATCCCCAGAGCAACGTCAGCCTCCTCGTCACAGTCAACGTTATTAGCATTTCTCCTTCGTTCTTCTACCGTTTCCGAGTCACCACCTTCGTTTTGAGCCTCGAGGTCCATTTCCGTGGCGGTGTTATCCGACTCAGTGGGTTGACTCACCGGGTCACCCGCTTGAGGAGCGAGATTAGCTCTGCAAACGGGGCAAGTGGTGTGAGAAGCCAGCCAAGCATCGATACATTCAGGATGGAAAACGTGGTCGCATTTGGGGATTAAACGCAGCGTTTCGTCGTCTTCGAACTCGTTCAGACAAACCGCACACTCCAAAGCTCCATTGCCGATCTTATGAACCCTAACTTCGGAGTAAACCATGGTGGGGAAAGTCTCGATGACCGACGCTTCAAGACCACGCACCCCGCGACGGGAACGCCCGGCTCCTCCGTTGACAGGGCGGACGACGCTTCCGTTGGCTTCGGAACGGTTCCGAATATAAATAGAGAAGAAACCCATAAAGAACAAAGCAGCAATTAAGACGACCACGATTATAGCCATGGAAGGAGTGAAACGAGCGTAGGAGTAACGGCCTTCGTTTGGATCGGGTGGTTGGGCGGTGGAGGGAAGCGGAGAGAGAAAAAGAAGAGAGAAAATAAAGAAAAGGATTCCATTTTTGAAGGACGACATGGTGAGAGGAGGAGCATAAGGGGAAAGAGTGAGAAGAAAGAAGGGGTTTGTGGATTTTATATGAGACGTGAGAAGCAAAAGAAGGTAGCTGGAAATGAGGGTCCAGTCCAGTGTTTGACTTGGAACTTGGAAGCTTGTTTGAAATTCAGACAAGGTGAGCCGCATGGCATTTGGTTGTAAATAATTTTTGTCTTAGGATAACGGAAGGTTCCAATAACACGGCGGAGACTTTTTTTTATTACGTAAACTATACCATTAGCACCTCAACTATAATTTTTGTTCTATTTTGGTACTTTAATTATTTTTTAAAATCATGCATAACGTTTAATTTTAGTTTTATTTTGGTCACCTGTCATAAAAAATTAATTGTGATATTAACGTATTATAATAAGATAATACCACATCATCATTTAAAAAGTACAAGAAAATCACGGCAACAGTTATGTTAATTTTTATCGGTGAGTGATCAAAATAAAATTTAAACGTGAAGTTTGATATGATTTTGAAAAAAATAATTAGATGACCAAAAAAGAATAAAAATGATAGTTAAGATACTAAACATGTAGTTACCCTTTTAATTAATTTGTCACGTAAGAACTTACAATTGCATTACTAGTAATTTGCGCTTTCCTTTCCATAAATAAGGTAAATTAAACATTACCACCCTACTTATTTTATCATTTATTATCCATATCCGAAACATGTGGTCATATTCATTAATAATGTGATCTCCAAATAGAAAATAAATTAGATTAATAATAACGTATGAACCAGAAATAAGTTTACCTAACGTAATGATTAAAAAAGTACTTACCATATATGCAAAATTAATCTATTAACGAGTAGAAAATCTTGGTTGAGACACTCACTTATTAAAGTTGGATTTGCAAACCAAATCGATCTAGATTAATCGAAACTTTAAAACTGAAGTCCGATAAGAAAAATTGATCCACTAATGATTTAATAGGTATTGTTTCAAAACTAAACTAATTACGGTTTTACAAGGTCAATTTTAGTGAAATAAAGAAGAAATCTACTGTAACAAATATATTTGGGGTATTTTCACCTGTTTTCTATGCAGAACTTTAATTTCCAAAAATAGAATTAAAGAAGAGAAGTTCTGTAATTTTTTTTATTCTTAAGTCAAGGCTAGAGATATGGATATAACTTGAGGCATGATAATGTCATGCATGACAGTCTAGTCAACTAATATCTTTTCTTCTTTTTTTCTCTTTCGTTTTACTTTTAGGTTTTTATTTTTTTTAAAATGCTAACTATGATTTCTATCATGCTTAGCTAATTTTTTAATAAGCCAAAGGATAAAGCGATGACTCAATTCCGATAATGAGAATTGAAAAGCACCTAATATCTTCGAATATAATTTTTAATTTTCTGAAAAATGGATTGGCAATCGGCCTTTCTTGTAAAAATCTTTTCACTTTCAATTCAATGGATTGGCAATCGGCCTTTCTTGTAAAAATCTTTTCACTTTCAATTCAAAAAGAGCTCGTTGGCTTGATTGTTGTTCCGATTTAAAGTTGGGAGGAAGGATCGACTTGTAGCACATTCGACTTCCTGTGAACACACTTAGCGACGGCCCGCTAAGGGAAATTGAGATCGAGTTTGATTCTTATTGAGACAACATAACCTGAGTCGGGCTTGTCTGGCGCTTAAACTATATTAGCGCTAGCGATGATAGTCGTGGTTAGTCTAAATAAGGACTAAATTCCAAAGATTGGCTTTGGATTGTTGGTTTACCGGAGAGAAAAGTAAGTTATAAGGGTTGGGCATTGTAGACTGCAACCGACATATATCCGAAGTAAAATACTTTTAGATGATCAATTGGAATTGAGGCAAAGTGAGGCCTGGAGCTGTTTTACTTAATTGAATTTCTTTTAAAAATTACTTTCATTATTTTTCTTAGATTTAATTTTTTTGCCATCTTTTTTATTTTTTGCTCCGCTCTTTCAATCAAACCCCTTATTTTCTTTACCCTTTTTTCAAAATCAAAACCTTCTAATGTTAGAATCTCTAAAGTCCTTGTGGATCAACCATTTCTTCTTTATATTACATTTCTAACTTATTTATCTGAGAAAAAGACTTATTTATTTGACAAAATAAGATACTTGTCACACTGTTAGGTTCCTAAGTTATTATTACCATTAAATTCGATTATTATCTGACATGTATTGTGTTTATATATATTTTTGAAAATTTTATTTTAAAAAAATTAAAATATTATTAATTTTTAAAGAAACTAAACTTTTTTAAAATTAAAAAAATGTAACCTTAAAATATATAATTTCAACCCCCATTAGAAATTTTCGTCGACCATTATTGATCATCTTCACCGTCGTCGAACGACTACTCACTCGACGTTGGATTACAATTGTCGATCACCCCTCTTATTGTCATCCCAATCCCCTTAAATCCAAAATTAATTCCCTAAAGTTAATATCAAAGTCATAACCATAATCCCAAATTTATCATTCTCACTTTAAGAAACTTTAGGGATTTATGGATATGATAGAGGAGGTTCTAAATGCAACTGATGAAGGAGAAATTTTTGTGAACGTGGGGGAGCAATTTTTTGTGCAGGAGGGAGGGAATCTTTCTTTAAAATGTTTTTAAATAATATTTCAATTTTTTTTAAAAAAAATTAAAATTTATATAAATGTGATACATGTTAGATAACGGTAAAATTTAATAGTCGTTACAATATAGGAACCTAAAAGTGTAACGTCGAAAATGTTAGGCACATATTCTTAGCAAAAAATTATTTAGGCACCTAAAGTTAACTTACGGTATAGTTTGAGCACTTTTTTTTACATTAAGTCAAAATATAAACATGATACATGTCACTTAACGTTTTTTAACGATCATTACCGCGTATGTGCCTAAAAGTGTAACAAAAAAGCATTAGGCCCCTAAAAATATAATGGAGAAATTAAACACTTATTTTTAATAAAAAATTCTTTAAACTCCTAAAGCTAACTTATGATATAGTTTGGACACTTATTTTTCATTAATCAATATAATTGCAGTATAAAGTATATCGTAACTAATTCTTCAAATCTCTTTCTCCCTTTTACTGGTTGATTTTTATTCTACTTTCAAATTTGGGTATATGGTTGCATGTTTGAATTTAGCCACCAGGACATATTCTTTTCGTTGGGAGGAATTATTCATACTTGATGTACAACTAATTAGGTGGATAGTTTATGGAGAATCAATGGGTTGATGATGATGAAGATGTGATATTTGTTAGAGGTTCTGTTATGAATCAAACAAGAGAAAACCAGAGAAGGAAGATAGGGAATTGAAAGTGGATTTAAGTTGGAAATAAAATTCAAGGATTACAGATGCCTTCACGTTTTGCATGTTGTTTTATTTATATTTTTTAAATCCTCAATAGCGGACAAAATTTGTTACGCCTGGGGTGTCTTTCTCTCTCTCAAACGCCTGCGAATTTCTCGGTTGTCCTGGTTGTCCTTGGTTACTGCTTCTGCATTGCCATCTCCTCCTAGATATTCATTCTCATTCCTTGATGCTGTTATCTCAGCTCTTTCCATGACAGTACCTCCTCCTGAAAGAATGACCTTGTCCTCAAGGTTCTCAGTTGGTGCAGGTGGAACAAAGTCCTCTGTTATCAAAGGCAAAGGAGTGATTTGTTGAAGAGGTTGGCCCTTACAAGGTTTGAGTTGGGACACATGAAATATTAGATGGATACGAGCAGACTCAGGGAGTTCTAGCTTGTAAGCGACAGGTCTAATGTGTTTTGTAACTTGGTAAAGGCCAAAGAATCGTGGACCAAGCTTCTGATTTTTCCGTAGTCGTAACGATAATTGTCTATAAGGTTGTAAATGCACAAAAGCCCAACTACCTTCTTTTAGTTCCAGTTCACGTCGATGCTTATCTGCCTGAGTTTTCATACGTCCTTGTGCTTGACTTAAATTGTGTTTTAATACCCTAAGTAACACATCACGCTCTTGCAAGTCACGATTTACCTGAGCATTAGGAGAACTTCCTTCTAATTAGTGAACGATGGTGAGAGGTTCACGCCCATACTAAGCTTGAAAAGGAGTCATACCAGCTGAGGTCTGATAAGCCGTATTGTACCAGTATTCAGCCCATGCTAAGTATTGTTCCCACTTTCTCGGATCATCCCCTTCCATACAACGAAGATACATCTAGATGCACCAATTCAAAGCTTCGATTTGCCCATCAGTTTGCGGGTGATAAGATGAGCTTAAACACAACTCAGTCCCCTGTAGTTTGGCTATTTCTGTCCATAATTCGCTCACAAAAATTTGATCCATATCACTGATTATTATTCTTGGTATTCCATGAAGTTTTACGATCCTTTGAACCATAATGTTGGCCACATATTTGCTATCAAAGTGCCTCGGTAGTGCGAAAAAATGTCCGTATTTAGTGAGTCGATCGACCACCACCAATATAGTCTCATTCCCATTAGATTTCGGCAAACCTACAATGAAGTCTAAAGAAATATCTTCAAATACTTGGTTGGGAATGGGAAGTGGTTGAAGGAGACCAGCTGGAGCCAAACTAGTGCTTTTTATACGTTGGCAAACTTGACATTCAGAGACAAACTGACGAACGTCTCTCCTCATACCCTTCCAGTAGAAATTGGTAGCTAATCGTTGAAATGTACGAGTAATACCAGCATGTCCCCCCATTAGTGAACTGTGAAATTCTCTTAATAATAGAGATCGCAATGTCACCTCATGAGGAACCATAATTCTTCCTCGTACCAACATCAAACCTTTGTGTTATTCATAACCAGCATAGTCAGTCTCATTTTTTAGAATGTTATCCCGAATATGTTGAATATCAACATCTTGCCGACTTACTACTCGTATATCATCAATAATGCCAAATAGTGGACGTGAGAAAGCCATGAGAGTAGCTTCGATTTCTCTAGACAATGCATCAGGAATATTATTAAGCTTTCTTGGTCGATAACGGATCTCAAAATCATACCCGATTAATTTCGACAACCATCTTTG